AGGAATATGAACACGACTCCCAGCACCTATAAAGTCGGCGTAGAGAAAGCGAAGCACGAAGGAAGCTGCCTTGCAAACACACGAACTTAACTACTGACCGCTCCGGTGCAACTATCATTAAATAAAAGGTTCTTTGGCTGTAATATCAGCTTGATCCTTCCCTCCCCCGCTCCCCCCCCACACTTTTTCCTAGCTACTGCAGGGCTGGCACCCGGCCAGCATAAGCGACATAGTACCTTAGTGCCATCTACAGGCTACACCGCCATGCTAATTTAGAGGCAAAAGACAAGCACCAATAAAATAAATTAGACAGCACCGCATTTAAATCTTTATTAGCAAGGAATTATTAGACCTAAGAAAAACTAATGCTGGATTTGGTTGAAATATGAGTTTCTCAGCCTCCAAATCCCTCTTCATATGGCGTATTTCACAGTTTAAAATGAGTTATGACAGATCACTTATGCATTACTAAGATGAGAAAACATTTACAATAGGCTGACTTTTTTTTTTTTTCCCCTGCATAATTCAGATGTATTCAGAGAACGCATTCCTTTCAAAAGTATGCTTTGGCCGTTTTTTAAAATATGCAACAAACTATCTATGCAATACCAACTTCTATCTATTACAACAAAATAATTTTGAACTCAAAACAGAGGAAGACTTCCGTATGGCTTAGTTATATCCTACCAACACACCACGTGCTTCACAGATGGAGTAGCATGGAAATTCGGCTGGCTTTGTAAGGGAAAAAAATTAACCCCTTTAATAACACTAACTTAGCAAGATTCCAAATCAGCTTGAACTATAAAAGAAACTCCAGCCAACTCACTTCAAAATTGGAAACTGAATGTACATATCCCTTCAGTCTCAAAATAGACAATTTTTCAGACTGAAATTTAGCATATAAGGAAACAGTTTTTCTTCAATAACTTTTACATTTGGAGAGTCAAATACTGGGGAGAAAAAAAAAAAGTCTGTTTTTTAGGGTTTTTTATGTACATGTATGTGCACACGCACAGATGCAAAATAGTCGTTTAACAACTGGTATTCTTCAAAACCCAAAGTATCAGAGGCGTTTTGCAAATGCATGGTTAAGACCCAGGTAGTGGTATTCTTCAAAACCCAAAGTATCAGAGGCATTTTGCAAATGCATGGTTAAGACCCAGGTAAATGATAAAGTGGTCAAGTTGTTTTAGTTTGTTTTTGTTTGGTTTTGTTTTGGTTTTTTTTGTTCCCCCCATAATGTCACTATATTAAATTAGACTGAAACAAAAAAAAATACCAACCCACAACACAGTGGCACTTTTAATACTGGTTGATTGGGCACTTGTATGCAGTACTTATAGACCAGTAAAAGTGCTCGTTTACCTGTCTGGTGTGTAAGGGGCCCTTTGTCTTGAAGCCTCCTTGGGAACTGCACTCTGAGGCACTGAAGTGATTTTTTTTTGCGTTTGGAAAGGGTGTCACAACCACCAACAAAGGTGTTGTCCAACGGGAGTTCCTGAATCACATGGTGTTTTTTCACTGAAACTGGAGTGTCAGGTTTGAGATGAAAAGCAGACTGCGGAGAGGCAGATTTGTAATGCTTGGCGAGATCAGGACTGTTAGGCTTAAAGGTTGTTGGTGGTGCTGTGCCCCAATCAAATCTTCCTATACTTTGCTCCTCCAGCTCTGCTGGAAGGCTTATTGTCCCGTTGATAGGTTCATGAACTGCATCATCAGGTTTGGACTCCTCAATGGTCACAAAGTTCAAAAGAGAGCTCTTTGGAGATTTCCTTTTCTTCCTTTTCTTTTTCTTGTTTTGCTTGTTCTCCTGATTGGGAGACATCCACTCAGCACCTTGCTTGCTCCTCTGGGCGGCTTTGAATCTGGACGCATGTCGACAGCGAACGAGAACTGTGACAAATATTACCACTATGACAACCATGGCACCTGCCACAATAGCGATCATGATTGTGAGATAGTCCTCGTTTTGGTAGGGTTGGCTACTGTCCCCTATGTTCCGGTCCAAAGGTGTTTCCATAGTCCTGCGTATCAAGTCATAAATATAAGAGGCATTTCCAGCAGTATCATTTACATACAAAAACACAAGCACGAGTGTATGCAGGGACTTGGGATAACCCAAATCGCTTATGTTGACAACTAAGCGATGCAGCCCCACATCATTCGGCGATGGTTTTTCTTCCAGAGTGATATTACCTGTCACCGGATCAATCCGAAACAAGCCCTTGTTATTTCCACTTACAATTGTGTACTTCAGCTCGGCATTCATGCCAGTGTCTATATCCACAGCAAAGACTTCGGCTACAACCGATCCTGGAATTGCTGAGAGTGGCACTAGTTTAAAAGAAGTATTAGAAGGTGGGTAGATGACAACGGGGCTGTTATCATTAACATCCATGACGTTTATGGTTACTTTCGCTGTAGAAGAGCGAGGAGGTTGCCCTCCATCCACCGCCTTAACATCAAAGGTGTAGGAGCTCTGCTGCTCTCGATCAAAAGAGACATTGGACTTTATAACTCCAGAGTATGGATCCAGCACAAAGTTTTCATTGTCATTCAGGATGGAGAGGGTCACTGCTTTATTTTCCCCAGCATCTGCATCGGTCACCGTGATCACCCCCACTGTGCTATACTTTGGTAAGTTCTCTGACACAAAAAACTGGAAGTGATTATGAGTAAATTTGGGACTGTTGTCATTTTCATCCAACACAGTAACAATTACAGCTGCTTGACTCTGCAAAGGAGGGGTGCCATTGTCTCGGGCCGTAACAGTGAAAATGAAACGTTCCTGCTCTTCTCTATCAAAAACTCTGGAGGCTGTCAAAACTCCCGTCTTTCGATCCAGATCGAAAAAGGAGGCATTAGGGCCAAGCTGATAAACAATGTCTGCATTTTTCCCACTGTCTTCATCTGTGGCACTAATAGTTGTTAAGTATAGACCACGACGGTTGTTTTCCGAAACTGACAGCTCAATTACAGGCTGGCTGAAAATCGGAGGGTTGTCATTTTCATCCTCCAGTTTAACTCTTACCAGGGCAGTCTGGTTCAAACTGGGCTTACCAGAATCAGAAGCAACAATTTTAAAGCTGAATTCTTTGGTGCCCTCATAGTCCAACAAGGAAGAGGTCTCTAACAAATACTGGTTGTCATATACTGCCTTCAAGTGGAAGGGGACCTCTCTCTCAATGAAACAGATCACTTTGCCGTTCACATCAGTGTCCTTATCTGAAACTGTAATTAGGGCAATCTTTGTATTGATGGGATCTTTCTCAGATAAGTACACTGTGCCATTGATGGGACTTATTATGTACCTGAGGTCTATGTTAGGAGGGTTATCGTTTACATCAGTGACATTGATGGTAACGGTTGCCCGGGCCGGTGTAGAGCTACCATCACTAGCCAGCACTGTCACTTTGTGAATAGCAGTCTCTTCTCGATCTAAGGACCTCTGAACTGTAATCAGCCCTGTGGTGTTGTTTAAAGCAAAAAATCTTTTGGTTGCAGGGGCGACTTGGGCACCAAAAATGTATCTGATTTCTGCATTGCTTCCTATATCTGCATCTGTAGCATGAAGCTGAATTACAGAAGTGCCTACAGGGGCATTCTCTGGTATATGAACCTCTACTTGACTCTCTTTAAACACTGGCCTGTTATCATTGACATCACTTACTGTGACTTGTAGGATGGCTGTGCTGGATTTCTGGGGGGTACCTCCATCCTCCACCTTGATTTTCATCACGTAGGTGTCCTTTTGTTCTCTGTCCAAGTTCTGCTGCACAATCAGCTGAGGCCATTTCTCTCCTTCTGGAGTTTCTACAATATCCAGTCCAAAGACACTCTGCCCGTTTAACAACTCGTAGTGCTGCACGCCGTTGAAACCTGTGTCAGGATCTGTTGCTGATGGGATTGGAAAGCGACTGTTGATCAGAGTGTTTTCTGGGATGGAGATATTGATGACAGGGGATGGAAACATAGGTGCATTGTCATTAGTATCCTTTACAATGATTTTTATTTTGATAAGCCTAAAAAAGTCATTGGGGAGAATCACCACCTCAAGTTCAAAAAAACACTCGTTTTCTTCTGCATAGGAAGCTCCAGCACAGAGTTTTTCTCGGTCTATTCTGTTAGATGTCGTAAAGATTTCCCCAGTGTTACTGGATACTTTGACCAGAGGGGCATCCCCTGCTTTAGACACCAGTCTGTAGACAAGGCTGGCACTGGTCCCCGTGGCAGCATTTATGTGAGAAATGTTCAGGTCCTTTGGTATGTTCCCTATGGGTACGTTTTCAGGCAGTTCCTCTCTAATAGTGTAAATAAGTTCTTGAGCTATAGCAGAATCCAGCCTTAAACAGGCAATCAAAGCAGTCAACAGGTAAAAATCCCTCAGGTCCATGATAATGTTTTTATTCTCTTTTCCTCGATTTTAGGACTTAAAGGTTTCCAGGGAGGAATGATGCGCGATTTGCAAGAGGAGGCATGCATGGACTGCAGGATGCATTACATCTCATTTCTTATTTGAAGACAGCACTGTCAACACAACCACACAGAACAGCATTATTGGTTTTTTAGGCATGACAAATCCACAATCCCCAATTACTACTTGTTTTTGCAATGCACACTTAGAGCAGTACATTTTCCCACTGCTCCCTTTTACAAGGAATCCCTTTGGTCAAATGCACTAATATCCCATCAGCTGCATTTGCACAGAGCAAGAATGGAAATAACTACTTACAGGATTAAGGGTAGATACCGTTTTGACACGTACTTTCTGAATAATTTCTTGGTACAGCGTGTAATCCGTAACGTGCATTCCCCCTCTACCCTCCTCCACCCAGTCATTTGGTGCAAGTAGAAAAATCTTCCCGTACTACTTCTGGATTCTAACTGCTATGTCAGCTGCCAAATGCAATTTGTTGTTTGCTTCCACACATATTTTTTAGCTCTTGCAAACCAGATTTTTCTCTGCTCCTTGTGCCTTATATCCCTCTCTGTAGCTGTGGCACTGAGAAATAACCACCCGGACATGCTGCTGCTGCAGCAGTCGTCACTGGCTACTTCACATCCCTGTTAACTGATGAGACAATAACAGGACTTACAGTTTCTTACACTCTCAGCTCAGTGTTTCCTCTCCAGATGTTGGATACTTCTCCTTCTGTTTAATAACCTTAAACTTTCTTTATTTGTTTTTAAACATAGTCTAAATCAGAAGGCTGGAAATTCCAAATGCAACTTAGGAGCAGCCAGCCTGTTTATGGGGGAAGAAGGGGGGGGATATATTTTCTGATGATGAAAGGAAGAATAAAGGTACAGCCTTTCCCCATTACAGTGATCTCCCTTCAGGATGTTATTAGCAGCTGCCATACATAAATACTGCAGACTAATAATGCAGGTGAAAAAAAAAAAAAAGCGACAGACAGACTTCTGTTTGCATGCTCTGCTAACCGCGAATTATCCGGGTGCAAGGCTGCCAGCACCTACAGTTTGGTGGAACTGGGCAGCCCCTGAGCACTAATCTTATCTGCATTAAGCTGCACGATAGCTGATGCCCGTGATTACTTCCAGCAGAGTGATGCAGGTAGGGATGCAGAGAGTAGGTGAGCCTTTGCCACCAACAGCAACTGAATCTGGAACACTGGTCCTTTCCCTAGATAAATATACTGCGTGTTGCCTTTTTTTTTTTTTCCCTTTACATGAAAAACATGACAGTGTATGGGTAACTTTGCACTTACGTTGGTCGTCTACCTTTGACGATCTGCTGCAGCTAAGCAATGATCTTTTCCAGCAGATACAGCACAATGCATCTGGTAAACCACCAGTTTTGGAGAAATCAGCAGCAGCCAAACGCTTCCTTCTTGAGATATGTGTTGCTTCGGGGTGGCAAATTGGCAACTCCACGGAACAAATTCACAGTTCTGTCGTTAGTCATCCTCTCCACGTTTCATTTCTATTAAGCGGCGATCCTTCGGGTGTTTTAACGTGCACGCAACAGCCCAAACAATCAGCGAGCAAAAATCCGGTGCACTTCTTTAGAGCGGGGGTATTTTCCACTCTGCACTGCACACAATTTCCATCCCTCTCTCAGCAGAGCAGAGACAGCTACGTGAAGTCTGCAACTTCTTACTGGAAACGGCAAGAGTTGGTCTGGAGGTGCTTCTCTCTCCCTCTTTATCTCTGGGGTGATAGTTGCGCACAGGAAAAAAAAAAAAGAAAAAAAGAAAAAAATCC